ACGCTCACACACACACACACACACACACATATATATATATATATATATATATATATATATACAGTTGCAAAAACTCATTTTGTTTGACACACTTATGATGTTGAAAAGAAAATACAAACTAATATCTATGCAACTGATTATGAAAGATTAAATCTATCAAATACGATATTAATTTATACACTTTTATAAAATTAAAAATTTATATCTATTTTAAATCTAGCTCTTTTTGTATCTCTCTACTTTGTCTCTCTCTCTCTTTTAAGAATAGTAATTGTTGGTTATTGGAATTCATTCCGTATATACCAATTATATACTTTATATATATATATATATATATATATATATATATATATATATATATATATATATATATATATTGTTATCTACAGACAGACTGTTTTGTGGTATAACAGTTCTTCAATATGGCTAGATGTCCGATTGCTTCAAGCCGGGATCGAAACTCGGCCGATATATATTAATAAAAACAAATGGAATCTTATTGTGTAGTCTTTTTGCACATATGTTTTATGTATGTATGTATGTATGTATGTGTATGTGTGTGTCTGTGTGTCTGTGTGTGAAAAAGAACATATGGCTGCCCTGGGTCTTCCTTGAAGATAATGTATTTATGGTAAAACGTTTTTTGTAATTACAGTTACAAATAGCAATGAACAGATCATAAATCATAATAAATAAAATTTACTTCAGAAATTATTTTTTTAAGGACAGCAAGTTCAAATAATATTAAATCATAACTTTTAATAAAAGATGTTATGCATAAAGATAAATAAAAAACAACTTTCGCTTCCAGTTTATATATATATATATATATATATATATATATATATATATAATATAACATTTCAATCTGTATATATTCCATATGTTTAGCTTATACTCCTCTCATGACTTCTCGAAGCAACTTTCTCTCTTTTGATTTTTATTGCATTTCAAATTCATTTTTCGAATGAGATGTTCAAATAAATTCATCCCCGGGGAGTTGAAAGTTAAGAAGTTACAAAATACTTGCTTATCCGAATTACTTACTCATAAATCTGCCGCCCTCATTTTCAATTCTTCGAAATTTGAGCCTGGAGGTTGAATATTCGCACAGATAATGCGTAATCCATCTCTCTCGAAGAGCCAGGGTTGTACTGGATTAATATCGGAGGCGAAGTTCAGCAATGAGGTCGTCCCACCTGAGGACATGATTGGTGATTTCATTGTCGAGTACATCTTAAACTGCAAATAGCCTGGAGACCAGATAAACGTGGCCACAAATGTTGTAATCCCAGAGTGTATATGTTAACTGGTATTCGCATTTATTTCAGTCAATGGAAAGAATACTCTCTGATATATAGTCTCAGCTTTTTTTGTAAATTTTACCTTTCATCAGTTGTGTGTTTATAAGTACGGTCGAAAATAAGACGTTCGAAAATTTCGGATATATAGCTATAAACATGCATATATAAATATGCAGCAATAAATGACATCATCAGAAGAGGTTTGGATGCAGCTGGGTTCCCTTCGGAAATCGAACCCGTAGGCCTTGGCCGTGGTGATGGTAAGCGGCCAGATGGCATTACCATTTTCCTTTTTAAAATGGGGAAGTCGTTGATTTGGGATGCGACCTGTGGGGATACATTCTCGGCCGGTAATTTGATCAGGTCTGCGGTTAAGGCAGGATCCGTCGCCCGGGAAGCAGAGATGAAAAAAATAGTGTAATATTCTTCTCTTGCTGATAGATTTTTTTTTACTCCTGTGGTAGTGGAGACTTCAGGGGTTATTGGCCCTCGTTCGATGGCGTTCCTTTGGAGGATTGGCACGATTGCGTCTCGATTAAGGGACGAGTCTCGTAAAAACGGAGTGGTTCTTCAGCGTGTCTCATTGGCGATTGTTCAAGGTAATGCTTTCTCCATCATTGCGACTGGAAAAAAATTGTTTATAGTTTCTGAAATTGTCATCAATGGTCAACTGAAATTGCTTTGTTTAATAAATTTATAGCTAATAAATAGAGATTTCAAAGTAGTAACGTTCTACCACGAACGTGCAAGCTTTGATCTTTAACTTACGATGATAGATAGGTCTTCTTCCATTAAAAGTCTATTCGGACTCTCCCTGGACTCAGAGTGCAACATATATATCTATTGCAAAAGATGCTGGAAAAATGGTCGGTTCATTATAGCGTTTCATTAAGTATCCGACTTCTCTGTTCTATACTCTACCTTTAAAGGAGTCTGATTAGACCCCAAAATGGAGTATCACTGTCATATCCGGTCTGAAGATGCCCAGTCCCCACTTGATTGTCTTCAAAAGCATCTTCAAGGACTTGTGGGTGATGAATTATTTCTACCCAGCAACCCCATTCCCACAGATAAATCATTGCTAACCTCTCGTTATTCCTTCCTTCTAGCAGCCATGATCTTTACAACTGAGACACACCATACCATGTAGACAGCAGTTAGATATACTTTCCCTTTCTATATCATTAAGGAAGTTCTATTCGGAGAGTTTCTTCCCAAAAATTGGTGCTTTGTGGAGGCTACGCTCTTAACTATTTCAAATCAATGGTTAGCAGTTATCATTTCTGTATAATCTCAAGAACTTCACTTTTTGCCTTTAATTACGTTCATAAACCTGCGCATGTTGAGCTGCTCCTGAGGCTTATATTGGGTGAATATTAGTATAAAAAGACTTATCTTCTGATTTAAAGTTTCGTATATATATATATATATATATATATATATATATATATATATATATATATATATATATATATATACTC